AGGAATAGAACATAAATCAGAGTTGCTATTCCTAGCCTAGAAATAATGAGAGAAAAATCACTGCTATAATCCTAGAGTATGGAGAATTACATAGAATTGGTCCCAATAAAAAGAACAATGAGGGTAAGTCATGAGACATCCTATTTCTTGCTGAGGTTCATTGTTGGCTGAGCCCAACCAGAAACTAAAGATCATAAGAATTTATTCATAAGGTCTAAAAGGGTCAGACTTCTGGATCAAAGAGAGAAGAAAGAGGACAAGTATGGTAGAGAAGTGATAAATATTATCCAAAAATATAGATCTCTCAGGAGATTATATGATGATGTGGTTATAATAGTAACCCCTATGGCAAAGTAAACATATCAAAGAAAACAGAGATCAAAAAACAAAGCAAAGAAAGAGCTACATTAAACATCTTTACAAGCTATTAAAACAGACAGTAGATTATAAAATATTTTGAGAAAAGTCATATATACTATATGAATAAATACAAGTGTCTTGTCCTAGTAAAAGAAGAGGTCATTTGTATTAGCTTTCAAAGTAAAAAATTCTTTGCACTATTCATGAGACACAGTCACAATGTGACTTGAGAGAGTAAATGATAGAATCTGTAATAAATGCCAGAAAAAAAGCAAACAAACAAAAAGGAAGAGTGAATGTGACCTTTATATCAGATAAAAATAAATTATTTTAAAAGGCATAGATAGGACATTTCTAAAACCAATAGAAATCATCTACAACAAATCCCCAGCTAATATCATACTGAATGGAGAAAAATGGAAAGCATTTCTGCCTAGAAATAGAACCAGACAGGGATGTCCACTATCACCACTATTCAACATAGTTCTGGAAGATGGAGAATCTTTAAAGAGCTAAAAGTTGATCTTCCATTTGTTCTGCAATCCCATCATTAGGTTTCTGCCCAGAAGGAAAAATATTATTTTACCATAAAGACATTTACACTCAAACATTTATAGCAGCTCAATTTACAATCAAAAAGATGTGAAAATAACCTAAGTGCCCATCAACCTATGAATGAATTAATAAACTGTGGTATACATATATCATGGAGTACTATTCAGCCATAAAAACATGGAGACATTGCTATCTTTTGTATGTACAAAAGGATTTGGAGAACATTCTCCTAAGTAAAGTATCATAAGAATGTAAAAGCAAACATTCCACATACTTGATACTAAGTTGAAACTGGTAGTATAACAACTACGGGCCCATGTGAGAGAAAAACACAAATTCAAGAAAGGCCTGGGGGACGAGGATTTTGTAAGTTCCCACCTAAGAGGTCCAAGGTATAGATACATGGTGACCTTATTAGGTGAAGGACTCAACTACAAGCCAGACTTTATCTTACAAACATAAATAATGCAACTAATTGTATGTACCCTCATATTAATCTCAATTTTTTAAAATTCTCTTTTAAAGCTTTAAAGTAATCTAAACCCTATCAAACAACATCCTCATCAAGCACCACATTTCTCACAAATTTGCATTCTTTAGACATTAAATTATTGTTGTTTTTAAAGTAATTTTGTTAAGTAAATTTGGTAATAAATTATGACTTCCAATACAATTTATTGTAGATATTAAAGTATCTACCACACTTTACTTAGGAGAATGTTCTCCATGGGTACAATGAACAAATATTTTAAAAAAAAAAAAACAGAAATTACAGACATGGATACCAAATAAGACAACATCAAGAATCATAAAGCTGGGTAGTGCCTGTGGCTCAAAAGAGTAGGGCACTAGCTCCATATGCCAGAGGTGGTGGGTTCAAACCCAGCCCTGGCCAAAAACTGCAAAATAAATAAATAAATAAATAAATAAAAATTTAAAAAAAGAAAGAAAAAAAAGAAAAAGAATCATAAAGCAAAGATCATAGGAGTTAAAATATTTAAGAATACAAAATAAATAAACTTGAAAAATATTTAAATTTGCTGATCTCATTCCATGAGAGGCAAATGGATAAGTTTTTAAAATCCTAAGGATATACATAATGTAAATAACATAATCAGTAAGTTATATGTCTTTGTAAAATGAGTTGGAAAGTGTTCATATCATCCCCATTTTCTGAGCCGGTGCATTGCTAATAATTTTCAATAGCTTATGAGAGCTCCTTTCTATCTGCATCCTCAGCAACGGATTGAACTGTGGAGCTATTAAAATATTTAATTATGTCAACTTTCTTTGAAAGTTGATAGAGTTTATCAGCAAAACTCTTTGACCCTGGAAAAATGCTTATATTTATCAAAACTTACTCTAAAGGAAATAGAAAATCAGACAGGACAATTATAAAAGGAAATAAAGGTTGTCAAACAAGTACTTCTGACAAAGCACCAGGCTAAGACAGCTTTAAGAAGAGGTCTGCAACATGTCTTAAGACCAGACAACTTGATGCTGCTTAAATCTCTCTAAAAGTTCTAAATCTAAAAAATGAAAACTTCTAAATCCTTTCTGTGAAACGAGGATAACAATTTAACTAACAAGACAAACAGCATCAAATAATGCCACAAAAAATGTAGGAGATATCACTATGACAATTGATGATAAATCGTAAGTAAAATATGAAGAAATGGAATCCAGTAGCACATTAAAATCTAATACAGACCCTGTGGCTCAGTGAGTAGGGTGCTTGCCCCATATGCCAAGGGTGGGGGTTTTGAACCCAGCCCTGGCCAAACTGCAACAAAAAAATAGCCTGGCGTTGTAGTGGGTGCCTGTAGTCCCAGCTACTTGGGAGGCTGAGGCAAGAGAATCACCTAAGCCCAAGAGCTGGAGGTTGCTATAAGCTGTGACACCACAGCACTCTACTGAGGGTGACAAAATGAGACGCTGTCTCTAAAAAAAAAACTAATACAGACCCAAGAGGATTTTATTTAATGCAGATATAGTAAAAATAATAATAATAATAATATATCCCTTGACCCCTCAGGCTCTCCCTCAGGGATAGAGTTCACCTTTTAGGTGCAAGACACAAATATAAAAGGATCTTTATCTTGGGCGGCAAATGTAGCTCAAGGGTTAGGGGGCTGGTTCCATATACCAGAGGTAGCACGTTCAAACCCAGCCCTGGCCAAAAACTGCAAAAACAAAAAAGTGTCCTTATCTAACAAAAGCAATTAATGTAACCTGCTTCTGTGTACCCTCAATGAATTCTCAACAATAAATAAATAAATAAAAATGTAAAAATCCTCTGGCATAGTTGAATACTTTAACAATTCAATAAATGGTGCAAATCTGTTTCTGAGGATGCAGAGAGAAAGGAGCTCTCATAGCTATTAGTGGCACTACAAATTACTGCAACCCATATGGGAAATACTATGGAGATCCCTCAAAGAACTAAAAGTAGACTCACCATTCTCTCTAGCAATCCTACTTCTGGATATTTACCCAAAAGAGAAGAAATCATTTTATCAAAAAGATGCATGCATTTGAATGTGTATTATAGCACAACTCATAATTTCAGAGGTGTGAAATCAACCCAAGTACCTATCAATTCATGAATGCATTAACAAAAGTAAAATATTTATATTATGGAGTATTGCTCAATCATTAATAAGGATGACTTAATCCCTTTTGCAACAGTTTGGATGGAACTGGAGGCCATTATCCTAAGTGAAGTCTCTAAAGAACAGAAAAACACAGCACATGTATTCACTGCTAAATCAGAACTAACCAATGAGTACACAGTACATAGAAGTAAAACTCAATAGAAACCAAGCTGGGACTAGAGGGGAGGAAATGATGGGCAAAACCCCTTCCTCATGGGTACAGTGAACCCTGTTTAGGTAAAAAGGCACATTTATACACCCACAATTGAAATTAAAAAGAATATAATCTATGACCAAAAGATTAATAAATAATTTTAAAATATTTTGTATAGGTAAGTTACAAGGACAATGATAAACTAAGAATATTATTTTCAAATCATATAAAAAGAGCTAATTTTTAAAATATGTATAAAAATCCTTCAAATTTATAAGGTAAAAATCTATAAGACAAGGGAACAAAGAACAGAAGGAAATAAAATTTTAAAGATTTCTAAACTTTAAAAATATAGCCCATCTTACTTAGAATAAATGAAAAGTAAACTATTTTACAATACTGATTTTTACTTATTATGTTACTAAAGATGGAAAGACTCAATGGCTCACTGTATTGGCAAAGAGATGGTTAAAGATGTACCCACAAATATGGCTGAAAGAATCCATCATGTATCACATAATCTAACAAAATTAAAAATGCAATCTTCTTTTAATCCTCCATTGCACCCAAGGGATCCCTCACACTGATCGAAACGAGTGTGATATTTTTAATGTATATAGGCTCTAGGTTATACATTGAGTCATCGCATGTAAGATTTAGAAATAATGTAATAAATCTTCCTCAACAGAGGGTAGGCAAGTTGGAGGAGAATATCCATACCCTGAAAACCTATTCTTTCTGTAATTACATAAGATGACTTCCAAGACATTTTAAGTGAGCAGGCAAGTTCCATTTATTAAACAAGAAGGAACACACCAAAGAACATATGTGTGTATTTCACAGCATGTATATGCATATTTTTAGAAAATATCCAAAAGACAGAAAATGTTGGTTTCCTGTAGTAAGGAAAATGGCTGAGGTCAGAGGTGAATCAACGAATGCTTTCTAAATACTTTATATGATGTTTTATTTTTATATTTGTTTATTTCAGATTAATATGAGGATACAAATGATTAGGTTACAATGTTTGCATTTGTTAGGTAAGGTCCTGTTGTAGTTGTGCCCCACACCCAAAGGAATGCCATACAGCTTTGCATGTGCCCATTAAGTAGGAGCATGCCAATCCCCCTCCCTCCTCCCCTGTCCCCCACCATTCTCCCCCTCTCTCTCAACTTGAATTAAATTGAGTTTTTCTCTTGTACATGCATGTAGTAGTTCATCCAATAGCTTCATATTACTACTGAGTACAGTTGATACTTGCTTTTCCATTCTTGTGAAAAAAATACAGAACACTCACGAGTTTATGTGTCACCCTTGTGCAGGGACCATGCTAATCTTCTCTATGTTCTTCCAATTTTAGTATATATGCTGCCAAAGTGAGCACTATATGATATTTGTATTTTCCACCATCTGTAGGCATTACTCTTTCAAAAATTAAAGATACACAATTTAAATAAATAAAAGTTCACAAAGGGGGTAAAAGTAACTTTCAATTCAAGGTATAAACTGAAACATTGTCATAAATATTTCAAATATCTTATAAGGAGGGAGACTTCTAACCCCTGAAATTACTACCATGTCTCTATGAGCTCGCCCTATCAATATGGTATAAAAAGTGTCCTGGTTTACACTGCCTTATTCAATCTATGCATCTTCAGGATACCTGGAAATTCAATGTCTTTTGCTATTATTGAAGGATTAAAAAAAATTGACAGTAGATTTTTATTATCCTCTCTGAATTTTTGAAGTTAAAAAGTAAAGAGACACAAAGAAAATGTACTGTATCTGATGAGTTGTATTAAAATTTCCCAGAGCATAAAAATTTAAGTTTTGTGATTTTATTTTAAGACCTGGGTCTGGGTAGAAACCACATATCCACCAGCAGATGCATCTGGTGAACTCAGCCAAAGCTCCATTAGAATGATAGGAGACTCCTTTGTGGATGTTTGCTTCTGACACAAGCAGTCTTAAGTCAAAATAGATTTATGTGTATTGGCAGAGCCAAGTAACAAATGGAACATGTTCTCACAGTATGTCTGGCCTGAGCCTATGTGATTAAATCTTGACTTTGATGAATCCCAGACCTTCAGGGAAGAGAAAATAAAGTCAGAAGACAGTTGGTTAATAAGAAATTACTGAATCAGCCAAATTCTAAGACAGTGTAGCAAAAGGAGCAATAGAGGAAAAAAAATAGAGAATAAATATTATACTTTTCCAAAATTATAACCTATCTTCCCTTCCATTTTGTTTTCATAAGTTTAGATATTGTAGACAGGTAGGATATTTTATCATTCAAGTTGGGTCTTTTATTAAATTCAGAGACAGTTTTATTATAACAATTATATTATTACAACAAATATAATCTAGGACTGCTCTATGCAAACCAACTTACATGGCCACCCAAAGGCACTTATTCCAAAGTCTTACAAGATCGTGTTTATGTACCTGTTTTTTAAATTGTCTGCGTATTCCTTGAAAAGAAAGAAAATGTGTTATCCTTATATCACAGTTGACTCATAAAATGTGTAGTACATAGTTAATAATCAGCATTTTGTTAAGAGAGGAAGACAATAGGTGGATACCTCTGGATCAATGGAAAAATATTAGCAACACCCAATCTTCTATTAAAATTTCTTTGTATAGCATATTTTCAAATGATGTGTTATAAAATTATTATAATAAAGTAATTTTATTTTGTCCATATTACAAAGTTATCAAAAAAGATATGCAAAAAATGTGATATTTCAAAAGGTTAGAGCTGAAATTTGAAATGTGTGGATATAGAAACCCATATTCAACGTGAAGTATTGCTCAGTAATTTTCAGTATTCTCAGTGACTTAGGCATGGGTGCTAGAAAGCTTTTGTGAGAGCCAAACTAGCTCCATTTTGCTGTTTACAGCACAAACTCCATTCTTGGCTGTTTACAGCACAAGCCCCATTCCTGGCTGTTTACCGCATAAGTTCCATTCATATCCCCTCTGCCCCAACCTCTGCCAGTGAAACCTGCAGGGCCACTCCCTGCTGCCTCTCCCCCACCCCAGGTTGCACAGCCACTGAGCCGTAAACTGAGTCACCTTAGGCAAACAGCTGCTATAGTAAACAATAAGTTTCTATTACCTTGAAATACAGGTAATCAGGTTGCACCAACTCTAGCCCCCGGTTAAGGGACTCCCCACCCCTCACCTGTACCAATCCAAATTCACCTTTACTAGTGAAATCATCAGCTACCAATGCAAATCCTCCTTTACTTCCTCCTTTACTAATGAAATCACCAACCACCAATGAAAAGTGCACTCATACTGGACCCTACCCTTCTTGCTTTCTGTACCCATAAAAACTTCCTCCACCCCGGGTTCAGGGCTCATCCTAGGCTTGCATGCCAGGAGAGTCCAGACCGGTCTGAATAAAATCTCACCTTGTGCCCTTTACATCGGACCATGTCTCGAGTTCATCTGTTGGGGCCAATTTGGGAGGATTTTTCGGACCTAACACTTTCTATAGACTGCTAGTGTAAGCTTTACAGAGCTCAGTAAAATCTTGAGTTAAAATCTTGAGAAATTGTGTATTATGATAAAAATTAGTTATAAATTATTTGTGTCAGCCTCTAATAAAAAATGCTTCTAAAATATAGCAAACTATTTCTCAAAGTTCCTCTGATAAATTTAAAGTCATTCACTCTGTAACAACATTTTGGTCACTGACAAATTACATGTACACAACAGTGGTCCCATACAATTACAGTATAATTTTTTACTTTACATTTTCTATGTTTAGATACACAAATATTTTCTGTTGTGTTACCATTACCTCCAATATTCAGTATAGTAACATACCCTATCGATTTGTAGCCTAGACTCAATAGGCCATACAATATAGCTTAAGCCTACAGTAGGCTACATCATTTAGGTTTGTGTAAATATACTCTACGATGCTCACAAAATGACTTCATGACACTTCTCAGAAGATAGCCCTATTGTTAAGCAATGTATGTCTGTACTTATAAAGATGTATTTATTAAAAAACTAATGACTATTGTGTAGAACATCCATTTTAATTCCACGGAATTGTAGATAGAAAAGTAGGCTGGATATGTCCTCAATGTCTACTGTAAACTCTTTTTAGTTATTATTTTCAATTAAAAAATGGAAAACCATGATACCATATCAGATAAGAACATCATCAGAATGGGTTCCAAAGATCTTAAATGAAATATTCAAGGGTCCATGTGCAGAGATGCATATAGACTACACATTGAATTTAGCCCAGGAATTCGGTCATGGCATATTATTAAGAATGTATTAGAAGTGACATCAATAAAAGTGGTGTAGTAAGGACCTCTGAAAATTTTCTCCCCCACAAAAGCAATGAGGACACTGGCAAAAATAATTATCAGAATAAACTTTTTCAGAGCTCAGAAAAAAAAAATTTTTTTTTTTTTTTTGAGACAGAGTCCCACTCTGTCACCCTGGGTAGAATGCCATGACATCACCATAGCTCAGAGTAACCTCAATCCTTGAACTTGACCAATCCTCTTGCTTCATTCTTCCAAGTAGCTGGGACAACAAGCATGCACCACCACATCCAACTAGTTTTTCCATTTTTAGTACAGATGCTGTCTTGAACTCCTGAGCTGAAGCAATCCACATGCCTTGGAGCCCCAGAGTACCAGGATTATAAGGATAAGCCACAGTGCCTCTCCTGAACTCTGGAAATTAACCAAAGTCTTGCAGTAAACAAAGAAGCATTTATCAAAGAAAAGAAAGCTAAGTCTCTGTAAGCAAATTTGTAGCAACTTGCCCTATTCCCATATCCGCCAGCTGCACAGCTTTTTGAAATTTTAAAACCAGCATCCTGTAATTGCAGTTAAAGTGAATATCATAGTAGCTGCCAAAGAAAGCAGAAAAGGATTGAAACATCTTCCTCCAAGTCCCATTTCAAGAGGACTTTTATTATCTGACCTATCTGGTGGTTTATTGGAAGATGCCTCTGGCAAGTCTGTCTTTATTTAAAGTAATTAAAAGTTGCATAGAATGAGCAGTCTTTTTTCTGGGGCTCATTTGCAAAATGAGGGGATGTATTTGCAAAATGAAAACAATAGAGACAAATTTTGAACATTACAACTGCCTAAATTGTTGGATAACCATGGAGCACGTAATAGGCTCCCCAAAAAGTTAAAAGGAAATTCTAGAGAATGGATGTACACAGAATATTTGGAGAAACAGTGACATGTTTATGGGAATCTAAAATGTCATGAATGTTTTGTGTATTCCCAGGGCAATGTACATGCTCAAGAAAGGAGGGAAAAAGCCCTACACACTCATCTATGGCTTATTTTATTCTCTGGACAAGTGAAGGCCAAGGTAGTGTTGTAAACTTCCTGAATGTTCAAGATACACACTTATACATATATGCAAACAGAGTCACCTGATAAATGTTTGGAAATTATCAGTTCCAAGCATCTAAGAAATGTCTGTGTAATCATCAGCTGACCACTAAGCTAAATTAGCAGAGACTTAAATGACAAAGACACTCATTATAAAGAGTATAAACCTTACAGAATTACACCAGAAGTTTCCAAACATAGTATAACAAATAGCAAAACAAAACTCTTTGAAGCATAAAAAGAAACAAAAAAATGACCTGTAAACAGAAAAACAAACAAATAAATTGTTCCTTAGGAACTCCAGAGTTGTTTTTGTTTTACAAAGACTTTAAGCTTTTTAATATATGTTAAAAAAAAAAAAGATAAACATTTAAAGAACTAAAGGAACACATGAGAATAATGTTCATCCAGTACAATATTAGTAATAAGAAAGAAATTATAACCACAAACAAATACTAATTCTGAAGTTAAAAAGTATTATCTCAAAAATTAAATATTTACTAGCAGAACTTAACAGCAGATTTAAGCAGAAAGGATAAAGTGCCAATTACCTAGAATATAGTTTAATTGATTAAATACCCAAAGGAACATTAGTATGTTGATACTAATGTGACTCAGATTGTTTTACACTAAAATATTATTTATAAATTCCAAGAGAACCACTTTAGAAACAAAAAGTGGTAAAAAGAAATGACAAAGGAATTAAAAAGTATAGTAGAAAATGTCTACTTAATTAAAAATTAGTAATGAAGGAATAGCAGAAACAATTATTGTATATGTAAAAACAAATAACAAAATGTCAGATGGAAATCTTACCTTATCAGTAATTACAAAAAATATAAGTGGATTAAATACTTCATATCAAAGGCAGATAATGGCACAATATATAGTTGAATCATACAAATAGATTGAAAGTAAAAGGATGGAAAAAAGCTATATCATTGCAAACATTAACCAATAAAGAGTTGGAGTGACTTACCTACCATTAGAAAGAGTAGAC